ATATATTTAAAATATGCTTATGCTGTACTTTTGTTCTGAAAGGGCCACTTGGGAAATGATGACAATGGGATAGTTTGCTTGCATAACCATTTTCCTCTGCATATTTGTCCCTTCTTTTGACAGCTTCTTGTACTTTGTATCTTTTCAAATCTTCTTCTTTGATAGCTTGGGTAGCCTTGTGACATTTTGACAGCAAGTTTGAATTTTTCAGTTTGGACTTTGTAGTTTGATTTGCACTTTGAAGTTTTGAGATTTGAACTTATGCAGTTTGGACAATTTGACTTGTGAAATTTTGACTTTTGTGCATTCATTTTTAGCAAATAAATATCCGTCCCTCTTTGTGAACCGGGAGAAATCCCGTGATTTGCAGAGAGGGTTAACTGATCCCAATCAGTGGCCCTTAATGATGAATTTTATATCTGTCTCTTTTGTTTACTTATCTGCTATTTGACTTTTCTTCTTTTCTTTTGCAGATGAATAATTGAATGGAGAGGGGTATTAAATGAAGAATGAAGAATTGGAGACTTAGAAAAAATAGGATAGTTTCATTTTTTTATTTAAATTTAAATTAATGTAAAATCATTGTTGTAAATAAATTGTAAACAATAATTGTACGAATAATTTAAAAATAAATAAAAGTTTTTATTATCCAATTAATTATATTTCCTCCTTTTTCAATTATTTACTTATTATTTATAGTTCTTTAAATTAAAATAACTGAAAATTAAATTCCAGATATTTAATCTTTAGAATAATAAATAATCAACTAAACATTGATTCCACGTTGATCAAAATAATGAACTTGGCGCTTCCATCATCCAAAGCAAAGCACAATCAACGCAATAACTGATCAGACGCATTCCCTTCTTACTGATTTCTTACCAAACACTGTAAATCCAAACTGAATGTATCCTTTGACTGGTTCAAACAAACAAATGTGAATTCAAACCAAATGCCTTCTTTTACTGATTAAATCAAACAATGTGTATTCAAACCAAATCCCGGAACAACTTGCAAAGCACCGTAGAATTAAATCTTTCTGAAGAACTGCGCACGAAAACCCTAATTCCTGATTAAATGCCAAAGAACGTTCGCCTGATCAAAGTTGAGCCAAAGTCAACCAAAACCCTAAGCCAATTGTGTGAAACATTCCAGAGCCCTGAAAATCAATGAAACCCTAATTGTGTCCTTACTGACGAGAAAAGTCTGTTTAACCGATTTTTGAGCCAATCTGAAAAATCAGGAAACGCCTGAAGCTGTGATTTCTTGTGGAAAAATGCGAGGGCAAATTTTGGGGTACAACACCTGGTCTCTTAATTGGGTCATGTTGTTGGTGACTATTGCTTGTGGGATGCGAACCGAGCAAGGATGTTTCTTTTGTATAAGCGAAGGACTTTTTGGGAAGTAATTTTGGTCAATGCTTCTGCCTCTATCCATTTGGTGAAGTAGTTGACGGCTACTATTAATTTTATTTTTATTGGTCCTTACCACGAACGGACCGAGGAGGTCTAACCCCCACCAAGTGAAGGGCCAGGGAGAAGAGAGGGGCCTGAGCTTGTTTGGGGAGCTAAGTGTATGTCCCCGTGCCACTGGAATTTTTCGCATTTTTTACATGCTCTTTTGTGTCATGCTGCATGGTGGGCCATTAATACCCTACTAGCAGAGCTTTTCTGGCGAGGGATCTTCCACCCAGGTGTTGGTCTTTATCCCTTCATAGATTTCGAGCAAGATGCGATCCGCTTCGCTCTGGTCAACACATTTGAATATGGGAATGGAAAACCCTTTCCAGTATAATTTACCTTTGACTAGGATGCATGAGCAGGCTTTTTGTTTGACCACTGCCGCTTCTTTCGAGTCGGCAAGTAGCTCCCCTTTTGTGAGGTAGTCGTGCACGGGGGTCATCCAGCAGTCGTTGTCCCCTATGGTGAATACTTCCAAATTCTAGGGGGGTCTATGGGTGCTCGGTCAAGGAAGGATTTCCTGTATCACCGACTTGTTCCCCCCTTTCCTCTTTGTGCTTGCTAGTTTGGACAGGATGTCTTCCCTGGCATTATGTTCATGGAGAATATGTTTTATGTCCACGAATTTGAATTTATTTTTTCTCTCTTAGACCAGGGCCCAATACTCCGCGAGGTGATCGTGGGATGCAACGAGCTGAGAGTCGGTGAAGATTTTCACTTCTTCGGATCCCAGGTCTTCGGCTAGGCGTAATCCTTCTAGGAATGCCTCGTATTCGGCCTGGTTGTTCGAGGTGGAAATGATAATTCAAGGGAGACTTAGATTAGGGTTCCTTCTTCGTTCTCCAATTTAATGTTTGCGTCGCTTCTTGTTGATCTGGAGGCGTCATCGACGGAAATTGTCCATCGGTGCACCCATCCAAGGGTACGGGCAAGGTCATTTCGGCCACAAAGTCAGCCAGTGCTTGAGCTTTGAGAGCTTTCATGCCTTCGTACTGGATGTCAAACGCGGAGAGTTCTAACGACCATTTAAACATTCTGCTCGCCATGTTAGGCCTACCGAGCAGCTGCTTTATTGGTTGATCTGTTCGAACGATTATGGTATGTGCCAAGAAATAATGCCAGAGTCTCTTCGCCGTATTGATGAGCACTAGGACCACCTTTTCAATTTGTTGATATCTCACTTCCGGACCCTGTAGGGCCTTGCTCATAAAGTAGATGGACCTCTGCCCTTCTGGGGTTTCTATGATTAGTGTTGTGCTTATTGCCTTGGAGGTGACGGTCTGGTAGAGATAGAGGATTTCATTTTTCTCTGGTCGAGAAAGGATGGGTGATTGCGATAGTGCTTGCTTCAAGTGGGTAAGGGCTTGCTCGCATTCGGCCATCCATTCGAAGGAAACTTCCTTGCGGAGGAGTTTGAAGAGGGGGAGTGCGTGCTGGGAGGATTTCGCCACAAATTGAGAGAGTGAAGTGAGCGTGCCGTTCAGGATTTAAATGGACTTTTTCGAAGTGGGTGTTGGAACCTCAAAAAATACTCTGCATTTGTCGGCATTTTCCTGAATCCTTCGTTCTGTGAGGTAGAATCCGAGGAATTTGCCTACCCGTATGCCAAATGTGCATTTTTCTGGGTTAAATCACATCAGGCACTTTCTAGCATGCTCGAACACTTTATTCAAGTAGAGGCCATGGTCAATTTCTTCCGTCAATTTGACGATCATGTCGTCCATGTAGACTTCGGGCATGTCGCCTATTTCTTTGTGGAAGACTTTGTTCATCATGCGCTGATATGTAGCACTCGTATTTTTCAGGCCATAGGGCATTACGTTGCAGTAATAGTTGCCCGACTCGGTCATGAAAATGGAATATTTTTTGTATGCTTTCGCCATTGGAATCTGGTTGTATCCAGATTTTCAATATTGGGGAGGGGATAAGCATCTTTCGGGCAAGCCCGATTAAGGTCGGTGTAATCAATGCACATGCGCAATTTTCCATTAGATTTCTTTATAAGAACTACATTCGAGAGCCAGGTTATGTATTGCGCTTCAGAAAAAAAGTGTGCCTCTAGAAGGTCTTTTATGGCTAGTTCGACAGCCTTCATTTTTTTAGGGGATTGCTTTCTCTTGCGTTAGGCGACCACCTTCAGGGCAGGGTTTATGGTCAAGTGATGGCACACAATCTTTGGGTCGAATCTGGGCATCTCAGCTGCGCTCCAAGCGAACAGATCAGTATTATCCCTTAAGCAAGATTTAAGTTGTCTCTTCGCCAAGTCGGAGAGGTCAGCTCCGATCTTTACTCCTTTGGTGGGATCGTTCCCGAGGGGGATGTTCTCGAAGTCTCCATCCGGAATGGATCGTACGGGATCTGAGAGTTTCGTGCCATTTGTAGCTAGGAATGAACCTTCCCTTTGACCATGGGCACTTTCCCTTTCTTCCTATGTTATGCACGATCCTCCTTGGAGATAAATTGTTTACAACACAGACATTTTTTTGTGAAAATATTCTCATTGTTAACGATTTTTATTCTTAACAAAATTTTGATAGTCGTTTTGAAGAAATTCTTTTGCTTTGTCTTTTAAAAATGTTTATAAAACTTTTAACAATAATCCTATTAATACTATTTGTATTCTAGTTAAAAAAAATTATCCTATAAATATTTGTGATCAAAAGAACATATAATTTGTATCAATCTTCTTTTATTTGAATTATGATTATAAATGGTGTTGTTTTCAAATTTTCTTTTGTTTTTTTATTTAATTTGAATTATTGATTTTGAGAATTTATCTTTATAAAAAGATTATTTTATAATTTTTTTCGTATATTTATCTTTTTAAAAATGAATTATTAAATTGAATTTATCTTTATGCTAGAATGAAGTTTGTTAAAGTTTTACTTATTTTACATTATTTATCTCTTCTTTATTTAAATTATTGATTTTTAAAAAGTGCTACTTTAAAATTTTAATATTAAAAATAGTAATAATTTTATTGTATCTTCTTTTTGAAAATTTATTGTTGACATAAAACAGATTTAAACTTATTAGATATAATAAACATTTCCACACATATCTAAAAAATAATAAACATAGATAACAAGAAGATGCGATTAATAAAGGATTTAATTGAAATATATTAACGATTGACGGTATAATATAAATTATTAGTGAATCATAATCGTTGAATTGTTTAAAATATTTGATTTTAATTTTAATTTATTTTTAAATAATAAAATTAAATGGTCATGATATATTGAGAGTGTAAAAATATTTTAGACCGATAGTATATAGCAATTAAGATAGTTTTACACTTTATTTAAAAAGATGTTAATTTGACTATATTTGAAATGATTCTAAAAAGCAAATGTAACAAAGTTAGCTATATACACGGCTTGAAAAAGAGTACCAAAATCAATTCAAAACGTGTAAACTATGAAGTGTGAAAAGTTTGTTTAATATTTTTTGCTATTTGAGACTAAAACGTAGGGTAACATAATAAAAAAATAGTGTAGTATATATACTACTAATTTTCAACGTTGTTTAGGTAACAGAATGACAAGTTTCAACCATGATTCTCTTTCACCAGAATTTGTTCTCATTCCTTCGAAGCTTCAAGCCATTCTATCAATAATAGAAGTAACAGAAGACAAAAACCTAGTACCAACACAAACGTTGTTACCTAAGAAAAAGAACAACATGAACAAGGTTGTTAAGAAGAAAAAGGAAAGTAAGAGTGTATCGGAACTTGAACTTGAGGAACTAAGAGGGTTCATGGATTTGGGTTTTGTTTTCTCAGAGGAAGATAAAAATTCAAACTTGGTTTCGATTATTCCTGGGTTACGAAGACTTGGGAAGAAAGATGAGGAACATGAAGAAGATGTTTGTGATGAGTCTATGATTCAAAGACCTTATCTTTATGAAGCTTGGGAGGTTCATGAGAGAGAAAAAGAAAACTCTCTGATGAATTGGAATGTTCCTGCTATGAAGAATGAAGTTGATATGAAAAATAGTCTCAGATTGTGGGCACACAAAGTTGCTTCTATTGTTAGATTAGAATTGAGATGATGCAGTTCAACTAATTCATGATTTTTTTTCCTTTTTTTCTTTAACTATTTTAAATTTTAACAGATAGGAATGTAATTTAATTCAGCGATTGAGATCTATTAAAGGTAGTTTTAAAAAAATGAGTTATTAAAAGTTCAATTTAATATCAATTTCTTTAATGGTAGAATGTATTCATCACTTATATAAGATTAAAGTATTTCTGTCAAAAAAGAATTAAAGTATTTAAATAGTTCAAGAAGTAAATTAAAAATTCAAGGAATAATTATTCTAGAGGAAGAACCAAACATTAGAGGATAAGCTACAGCTAAACCTCGTCCATTATGGAACTCAGGCTATATTTTAAACAGTCAAAATCAACAGAACGGGAATCTCCTATATAAAAACCAAAACCACATAATAACCTCCGAGTCAAATCTAAACTTATAAATTTGCTCTTAAGGATAGACTCAACAAAATTGGTGTCTTAACTGATGGCAAATGTAGTTTTTGTGACAAAGAGGAGAACTGCAATCACTTGTTTTTTGAATGCTGTGAAACTAGGAAGGCTTGGATCAAGGTTTTACACTGGATGAGGATTAACCATGAACCTCTTAGCTGGCAGTATGAGCTGAATTGGATTAGCCAGCAAGTCAAGAGTAAGAGCTGCAGAAGCAAGATTATCAAGATGGCAGTGGCAGAGATGGTATATGAGATATGGAAAATTAGAAATCAGAGAATCTTCCAAGGTATGCACAACAAAGAAGTTGACAGTAAAGAGGTTATCTTCACTATTAGAAGAAAAGTTGAAAACCATGCTAAATTAGTTCACTATTGTGATAGCTTAGATAATTGCTAGTTTGCGTTGTCTGTTTGTGTTCTAGTCGTTTTGTGGTATGAAACTTTTAGAATTGGCAGTTTGTGCCTCAACTCTTTTTTTTTTGTAATAATATTATTGATCTCGTCGGTTGATCAGAATTTAAAGTGGACCGATAGATGACGTCTGTTAGGCTGAAATCAGTGAGGAGGGGGTGTACCTGCAAGGCACTCCAACACTCAAGTAAAAACGAGTACAAAGAGATACAAGAAAGAGATTAGGGTTTCTAGAGTGAATATTGGATATCTGGCCCTCACAAGTGTGAGGGTTTATATAGTGCCCCCGACGCTTGGCCATTGGTTCCTATTTTCGGGCCTAAATATTAGGTTCCTCAAAAATAGGTAACTGCCAGAAATTGATCAAGACGGACAGAGATGCTCGAAACTAGCCGTTATGTCAAGCAGAGGTGCTCACAGGCAAAGATGACTCTGGCCATTCCTGGATGGTCGTTCTCGTGTGATCGGAAGGTCAAGGACCAACCCATCTGAACGGTAGAAGTGATTGCGCAGACCCTGGTGGTTTAGTCGGTCAGGGCTCCTCGAGCGAGGGGCTGAGGGGATAAAATATCCTTTATCCCTCATGATTTATTGGGCCAAAGTTATTGGGTTGTCCTACATGCAGAAGTGGATTGTGTAACACCCCTTCTAAAATACCCCGAATAATATTAATTATATCAATGATTAAAGACATATTCCATCAGAGTTAACACGGAACAAGGGATGTCACAATTATGAAATAAATAAAACTTCCAATAAAACAGTAGTCATGCTACACTGAGGGTCATTATTCAAATAATTCAATCAACTTAAGACCATGTCTTACACAGCGGAAAAATACCATAACCAAAACGGAATAAACCAAAACATAATTATTCTCAATGAAATTCAAAGAAACAATTGAATAATAACTAATTCCTCAACTAAACGTTCCCCAGTGTTACAACCTATCAGAGCACGACACTGACACGCGGACTTAAAGTAACATAGCTCTAGAGCCATCCTCACCAACTCTTGAGCTGCTAACTTTAATCTGAAATTGTTAAAGTAAGGGTGAGATTTCTCATAATTAACATGCATTATAAGCTTCTCAATCAACATTATATCACAAGCATATTATTTCACCCATTTTAGCATAAATTCATATTCAACACGCAGTTCCAATCATACAAGTCATTATGCACAAATCAATAATCAACCAAAGAATTGTAACATGGAAGACATCCTAACATGTTACAATTCCATGCAAACACAAATGCAGACACAATGTATGTGGTACCAACACGTGACCAAGTCACCCAACACTGATCCATCATCAACCGGATACAGCAACCATCGATTCGTCCATAAACACCCGGACACGAATCCAGCCTAACCACCCATCATCACCCGGGTATCGGTTAACGGCAATACAAGTCAAATTCCACACAATGGGAATTAACTTCACCAAAACAATGCATATGCACGCACGTCACTAGCATGCAACATCAAATCAGTCTATGAAATACATCAATTTATCATAACTGAACCAAAACAAAAAACATGATATCTCAACGATCATGCACACCATCATTAGCAACATAAACATGCCTTTCATTCACACAATACTAATACATCCATCCATCACAGGTTCACTGCTACATACACACCTATGTGCGTTAGCCAATAATCACTTATTCCGGGATTTGACTCATTTTCAAAATAATTTCAGGTTTTAGGAAATCTTTTCATTTTATAAAATAGAGCATTAAATTTAAGAAATAACGTCCAAAACGGCACTCAAAACGGACTTACGGTTTGAAAGTTATGAATTTTCAAAGTTTAATATTTTTCAAAAGCTACAGCAGAACCCGGTTCCTACATATGCAGGAACCGGTTCCTGCGAAGTTCAAAAATCACGCTTCTGGAAAAATGTATGGGAACCCGGTTCCTACCTATACAGGAACCGGTTCCTACGTGCGTTTTTGCCAGTTTTTATAAATTCACACAGTGGAACCCGGTTCCTCCCCACTGGGAACCGGTTCCCACGACCTGCAGAGTCAAATTCTGCACTTTTGACAGCATTTATTCATTCTAAACCAATTCCAAACATACCCATACGAATTGCAACATGAGAAATACCAAAACACATCTATTTTGCACCATTATAACATCAAACAACATTATTTCATCATTCCTTTTTATCATCTGACACCCGAATGGTTTTCAACCTACAATTCGACGCAATAGGGACAATTCTACGGAACCCTAGAATTCCAAACCGGGATTCCCTAACATACTATGATCCATACTATTGAATATCTAAACCGATAATACGAATTAACTAATCGAAATCACCCCTTACCTTGTGGGTCCTTCGAATTCTGACGCTTCCGGTTTTCTCCTTCTTTTTCCTCTTCTCAAATGCACGTATGATGAATATTCCAAAATAACTCTCTTTCTCTTCTTTTTCCTTTTAATACTCCTTTTATTATTCCAATAAAATAATCAAATTAGTAATTAGTAAGAGTAGAGTATTTTACCTCTCACACCCTCTAATCACTCTTCACACCACCAATACTTCTTTCCTTTAATTAATTAAATTAATTCCAATAATCCAAAAATACCAATAATTAAATTTCCAATTAAATTAATAATTAAAAATTCTAATTATTTAATAATCGGATTATTTAGGGTGTCACAGATTGGGCACTGCTTAGCCATTAGACCAGTCCAGAATATGAGCTCCCCAAGTCATTGCGCCTAGGCGTATGAGTGATGACTTAGAGTCAGTCAGTGTTTTGAGGAGGTGAAAATGCTTTAGGTGTCCGTTGTAGAAGACGAGGATACTTTAGGCTGAACCCAGGGACAGGTATGCTCGGGGAGCCCGAATGTGGTCTCGTGTGGTCAGCGTGCGGGGAGCTGAATGGTTGATGGGAGTAAGAGATTATGTACAACGCTCTTGATGCAAAGTTTAAAAATTTGAGGATTGATAATGAGAAGCGGGCAAAGGTGAAGAAGGTCCTGACCATGGAGAGGGATGTCCGTGCGGCTGAGAAGAAAGCTCTCGAGGAAGAGGCGAACAAGGTCAAGTCTGCCATGGCCCCTGATGAGGAGGAGCATGACGATGTTAAGAGTTTTACGACCATGGCCCAGTTGGTTGCTCGCATTCAATATGCCGACAACGATACTCTCTTAGCTGTTGTGGAAGGTTTTAAGAATGTAGTGGCCCAAATCAGACTTGTGAATTTGGGTGTTGATTTCATCTTGATGGGGACTGGTTTCCTCTATAGCATGGTGGATGGTCGTATGGTTGTTCCTGATTTCCTCGAGGTAGAGGACGGGTATGTGGCAGATTCTTTCCAGTCTCCAGGGGAGCCTGTTAGAGAGGTGCAGCCGCAACCCGATTCTAGAGTGTGTCCACAGCCTGAAGAGTGACCTCAGCCCAGCAGTTGATTGGTGTCTATTATTCCTTTGTTCGGCCTGCATGCCGTTTAATCTGTGTAATTTGTTTATTTTGGGGCTCTGCCTGTTTTGATGTAATGTTTAGACAACTTTGGTCCTTGTGGCCATTATTTTGGTTACTTTTTGGGTGTGGTTTGGCCCTTTTTATGTAAAACTTTGACAATTGCAGCCTTTGTGGTCGCCTTTAATATTTTTGATCTTGGTGGTCATTTTCTTTAATCAGTATTGTTTATGTTTTTACTTTTATTTGTGCATGATTTATTGCATACTATTGCTTTTGTTAAGTTTTATAAGTTTGTATGCTCGTCTTCTTGAGACGTTTATTTCGCTCAAGAGTTTTAGGGGGTTTACTTATTAGTATTGAAGTTCTCTGGTGAGGGGAGACTGGTCGAACGACCAGGGTATATTTTCGGGCGTGATCCAGAACTCAGGTCTCGTTTGGAGCCTGAGCTCGACGGTGTGAACTTCCAATCGCGTGCTGGGTGTTCTGCCATTAGGGTACAACGATGGGGGAACTCGTTTGAGTTTTCCCCATCGGGCTAAGAATTTACTCTTTAAAAGAATGGAAACTTGCCTCTTCGTTTAATTTGAGGTGTTATGCTTGTACTTGAGCATGCACACATGGTTGGGACTGTTGTGTTTGTCGTCTTAACACCTTTGAATCACAATTCTACGCGAGCGAGAAGAAGGTTTTGAAGCTCATGAGG